TATGGTCCTCTTTACAGTTTGGGCATTTCTCATTTCCGACAGCTCGATATGTATTAATCTTTCAATTCGATGAACACAACTGCATTTATAAGCAGTGGAAAAGTTTCTACCACCTCTATCTTATACTTACATTTCTTTTCCCACTGCTTTATTCGTTGATCGACGTCTTTAGCCCTGCCTATCTTAAAGCAATTCTTTATTTCTTTTACTATGTACAATATGGATTAGAAATTTTTTTTTTAAGCAAATAACAAATCATTAAATTATTAGTAAATTATAATATATACCTGTATAGACATATATGTAACCTGGTTCGTCGTCTTCAGAAATGTCTTTCTCCATTTCTCGGCGAAGACTGAGTTGTATATCATCCGGGAAATCTTTATCAATATAATCTGTGAAAAATATATTAATATAAAATTCGTACGCACTGGATGTACGAATCTGGTATGCAAATTTGTAATTTTTAAATATTTATAATTTAATAAAATACCTTTAGTTTTAACAATAGCATTTGTCGATCTCCCAGTTTTTATAGTTCCATGTCAGCTATTCAAAAAAGCCGTCTTTCAACACGAATATTAGATATTAAAAAAAAAATAAATTAGTCACATTACCAAGATAAAGTACTTCGTATCATAATGTGTATAATAATATATAAAAAAAAAACCTTTGTATTTGACAAAAAAAATCGTATATCATTTCTATTCGCATTTCGTTCTGGAAGTTTTGTCAGACAACTTCCACCGCACTTCATTCTTTTTGCTGTGCCTGCAAGTTTGTAACTTGGTTCCGGAGGCATCGAACCTGGGAAGGAACGGACTGACTTAAATTCTAAGAGTTTAGCAGGATATGAAATATAGACATTATAAGCGAGAGAGTGATGATAGGTGAAAAGAAAATATATGAAGGTTTTATAGGCGAGAGAGTGATATCAGATGAAAATGAAATGCAGTTATATATAAAGGTTTTATAACTAAAATGGAAGTTAAAAACACGTATCGGTATTGTTATTTACGCGTAGCATTGTTAGATCTGAAACATATCATATGATGATTACAAATCTCATTACACAAAACGTGTGAATATCTAATGCATAGAAATTAAGGATCCTCCGCTTAGAGCTATTACCCGGGTCGGTTGACCCGGGTTATAACCCAGATAAGAACTCTACCTCCGCTACGTTCCGGATCAATCAAACAATAGTTAGGGTACATTATGTTCGGATTTTTTAAAGGTTTATTTTGCATACAAATTTATATATGAATTCGAACTGATTCAGGGACATTTTTTTACCTACCTAACAGATATACATGGGTGCCTAAATTATTTTTGAAAAATCGTATTTTCGGCAAACATTTCGGCATTGCTAAATTTTTTATATGAAACCCTTCGAAATAACTATATTATATGATGTATTTTGATGAAAAGAGTTCAAAAAATTTCGGCAATAATTTCGGCAAATATGAAAATTAATTTCGGCATTATATAAGAATAATTTCGGTTGCCTAAATGCCGTAATTACTTTTTTATTAAGATGAGCAATTTAGGCACCCATGTATACTAACAGACAAAATTACATCGGGGGGTTTTTTTTTTAACTATAGCCCTAGTTTAGCTCCATACTGTACTGTAATAGAATCGATTTTGCAATAATTTTTGTCAATTTTCCATAAAATTGGAATAAAATTTTTTTAAGAGTTATTACAAAACCGGCTAGTTTAAAAGAAAGATACGATACAATTTTGTCTGTTAGGTAGGTAAAAAAGCGCACCTAAATAAGTGAGAATATGTAAATTCATATACGAAATCTACCTTCAAGAAATCCGAACATAATGTTCCCCTATTGTTTGATTATTAGAATGCTGAATACCCTAGCTAACAATCACCCGACAGATCACGGGTAAATTTTTTAATATGAAATTTTAGTGATCGACATCAGAGCCACTTGGGTTTACAATTGTCTGAAAGACTGAGGCGAAAGGTTTATTTTGAGCATTTACTCGTAACAATAACAGAGTCAAACAGCATGTATTAGTAGGCCCAGACTAATAATTAGACGATAATCTAATGGACCTTAAGATAATCTAATGGATTTGATGTATATTCGTTATATATCCTTCTTGCGTAATGTGCAGAACAAATCTCAAACCAATCAAAAAAAAAAAAAATTAAACAAGGGTTTGAACCAAATTTAGCGACTCTATTCAGAGCCGGTTGGTCCATACGATCCATATCATAAACCCGCAATGGTAGGTAGGCCCAGGACACGGAAATTATGTGATTTAGTGTGATTAAACTAAATCGCACTAAATCGCATAACGATTAATAGTATGTTAAAATGCGAAATAAATTATTTTTTAGTAGTATGTTAAAATGCAAGTAAACTAAATAGTGTTTTTAGTATGTTAAAGTCTAATATGACATTAAAACCTAAAATAAATGTGGGCAGCTTATGCTGAGAATTTAGGATATTTTATTATGAAATTATAAAATTTTAGAAGGCTTTTTTAAAGGTATTTTTTTTTATAGTTTGGTTAGAGTTTAGGGTTAGGGTTATTAATAAAAGAGTATAAGTTAATTTTAGTAGGTATCGTGGATTTAAATAGTGCTCCAAATATCAGCATAAGTCGCCACAATAAATACATTCGTCTTTAAGAAAAAAATTTTTATTATTTTTGTATGGATCCGAAAAAAATTACATTTGAACAGTAAAACGTTCGAATTTAAAGTTGAGCTTATGTGTAGATTTTTCGTCAATAGTTAAATTTTTTTTATTTCAATATAAACTATTGTTGCACCCTTAAATTTTGTTTAAAGCAAGTGTTTTTTAATTAACGATGAATAAATCGGTTTTCGTTTAATTAAGCCCAGTATTTAAAATAGCATTATTTTTAATTGACGATGATAATCAAAACGGAACAGTTGAGTGTAGTAATTAAAAATTGAAGCTTTTAGTTGAGCGCAGTATTTAGAAAATTGCAAGTTGCAAGTTTTTTAGTTTATGCAGTATTTTAAAAATTGTTGGTTTTTTGTTTATGAGACAAAATTTTTTTTTTATACTTAGTTAGTTAACATCATTTTTCAGGGATTTCATAAAAGGAAACCACATTCACGAGACAAACAATAGTTTATCAACACTAGTACTTTCTTATTTCTATAATTTAAGCGAGATAAGTAATAGATCTGAAAAGAATGCGGCCCTTAAGGTTGGCTTTTTATTTATTTTTTACATATAGTATTTACTTTCTATTTCGTTTTTTATAAACTTACCAAACCCGCCTGAAAATTACAAACTACTGGAACGTTTAAAAAAGCTACAAGGTACGAATTTTCGTTTTAAGTAAATTTTGTCAGGGTTTGAAATCTTGCAAAATTTAATGAAATTATTTACTAAAGAAACCATTAACGTATTTGCGCATAATAACGTTATTTCGAAACTCTCATTTTTTTAAAAAATTTGGTTTATTTTGACTCAAAATAAGTTCATTAATAAAAGTAGGACTTCCTCTTGTAACCCAAATTTGTCAAAATGATTCGAATTACCACACATGTGCGTCCCGAAATAACGCGCAGGTTCTCAAAATAACGCCCACCTGCGCATTATTACGCGCAAATACGGTATTAAAATTTGAACAGGTTAACCAGACTTTACTATGGATGAAGTTAACTTTTTATTCTTAAAATCTTAAATACAATACATAGTCTAAGAACACGAATATAATGTAATTAGAATAATAGTTCTCGTCTTGCTCAATAGACTTATAAAAAAAAATTTAAAGACGCAGATTCAATTACTCTAACTAAATATAAAATTCATATTTCACGTCCAAGAATCTTAGATAAAAAAAAAAAAAAAAATTACTAATAAGAACTACTTCAATTAATCGCTCAAAGTCATATTAAAAAAAAAAAAAAAACTACCCTAAATAAAAAAAATTGAGTTTTCATGTTAAAATTCAAAATTATCTAGATTGATATCTAAAATTTCTAAGTTTCGTCTAACAATTATATTCTCAATTAATTAAAAAATAAAATAATTTAAACTTAAATAATTTATATCGAATAAAACTAATTTAAAAAAAATGGCAAGATGGTAAGTATTGACGATAGCTTAAAAATATATTAGTTATGTCAAATTAACGAGTGATCTACCTACTATGAAATGGTTTTCCTTAATTTTCTTCGTTACTTTAATAATTACCAGCCTTTTAGGGGTGCATTTTGCCGTTTAGACGCGTCTAGTGAAACGTTTTTGTGTCACAAACTTGCAGACTTGGAAAGAATGCGTCGAAAGTAGACAAAACAATTGCCCATGTTCAAGAGTGTAGTATTTAATAAGGAGATGTTTGTTTCTTACGTTCTTAATACCATTTAACTCGTAGAAACTTCTACAGTAAGTTTGTTTCAAGGAACGTAGGTACTTTGACTAATCCTTTAGGGAAAAATTTTAAAAATGTATAAATATTTTATTTATTATTGTGACTATATTATTTTTGCTACATACGTATGTACGTACAACAAATCGGGTGATTATAGAGGAGGATGATTATATTTATAAACTTTAATTAATTTATTAATGTTATATCGAGTAATTCAAAGTTCTTGATAATTTGACATTATATTCGCAACTTAATCATTTCTTACTAATCGATGCAATATAAAAAACTCCCTTAGCGTTACACTTTTAACCTTGTTACTAAAAATAAAATTGTATTTAATGCCAATTCTGTAAATTGATAGATTAAAAACTTGATGAAAATCAAGTTTTTGATTGATTTTGCCGTGCATTGATTATTGCATCATGCGATGATATTTATCATCACATGATCCAATATCGATGTTATCGTGCAATTATGATCATGATTTTCAAGTCGTTATTGGCTAACTGAGTTTTAATTCGAGATTGTTGTGCTTATGTAATAACGTACAAAAAATAACAAGAAGAAAAAAATCTATGATCATAAGAGTTTGCACGATAACTTTGAGTTATACCTAACTTAATATTCCATAGTGATATTACAGAGTTTACTTTGTAGATGTATACTCCAGTGTGGTGTGGTGTTAAAAGATACTCTGCCAAAATGTACACCACACCACCTTGGCGCATCCCTATTACGATATAAACTATTGATAATCAGTAAAGCGATATGAATTTTAACACATTACATACAATGACAAAAATTTTATAATGACATAGATATACCAATATGCTACAACATTATAAATATAATTATTATTACACAATCTAATCATAACTC